CAGTTATGGTATCTGTGAGATGCAGAATCCAGGCTGATATTTTTGATGCTACAAAAAAAGTCTGTGTAACCTTTATTTTTTTTATATTTTTTTTTGAGACATAATATAAGATCATACTGGTGGTCAAAACAGCTGAGTTAGGTTGTGAATGAATTGCAGAAGCATGTTTTTTTATAAGGAAGCAGAGTCCCTGTGTTAAAACAGGCAAAGAACCCCACAGTATAAGCAGGTCTATTGATGCCTTGCTCTGCTAGGTGTTAGAAGCAGGGCTTCTCAAACATGGGTAACTCCGCACAGGGAGGTCTGGTAGCCTTGTTTAGGATATGGCAAAGATGAGTGATGTGGTGGCTTTATTTTTATCTTCTCAAGAGTAAAGAGAGGTGTTGTGGATGACTGAGACCGCAGATTATATTCACACAACACCTAGAGGTGGAAGATTTTTTTAAGAATTATGTCCCACGTTTACAATGTGGGTAGTGTTTGTCTGTTTAATTCTGTAAAGCAATCAAGTAGACTGAGATAAATTTGATTTGCTAATAACATATGTAAAGACCTGGAGAGGGAAATCCAACAAGTTTTCCTAGTGTAAGATTCAAAGCCAGAGTCTGATGTTAGCAATGTACATACTAGTTTTCAGTTCTCATAACAGCACTTGTAAGTAATGTAACCAGTATTTAATCTTTAAATTTGACAGAATAAAGCTTAATCCATCATATCTTTACTCTTATGTGTTGATAAGCATACCTTTTATAAGCTAGTGGTCTATCCAGCTATCAAGATAACATGTAGCACTGTTGATTTTCTGTTAGAAATGTGTCTACCTCTTGTGTAGTGAGCGAGGAATCCATGCAAAGAATTCTGTCCTTCAGGAGCTGGCAGGGCTATTCAGAGAGTGGATGTGTGTATTTTTAGGGAGGCCAGTTAATATAGTGCTTGCTGCGAGGGCAAGAACTTTGTATCCTCTGCCAGGATCAGTCAGGAGCTCCAATACGCTTGTGGGGATGAGTGTTCTCAGGAGAGAACAGCAAAATGAAGCAATCTGTAGTCTGTTGAAATAGCAGTCTTCCTGTGATACTGCAATCGCAATTTGTCCCCCTTTTGCCAAAGTAAGTTTGTTTGACACCACTTTGACATTTGTAGGCAATATTTCACAAATGTTACTGCCAATAAAAATGTATTATTTTTCTTGGTTTGTACTGATTGAGAAAATTATCTTAATTGTTTTAAGCTGTGTGTGTGACAGTAGCTGAAACTTGACTGTTTATGTTGCATGAACCTGATGCTAGGCTTTACTTATGTACTTGCCTGTGAGAGAGACTTGGACTTTGACATTTGTAGGCAATATTTCACAAATTGTTTACAGTTTAAACACAAGGAAACATATTTTCCTGACTTTTTTTATTGGAAGTAACTATTGTTATTTCCAAACTATTAGAAGTCTGCCATTTGTCCTTCTCTTTCTTCATAGGTAGCAAAGGAATGATAAAGGACCTTGTCAGTGAAGCCGCTCCTCGTAACTGGACAGCCTATATTAATTGAATAATACAAAACCATCTAAATTAAATGTATTAAACCTTAATGAGATGTCACTTTTGAGCATAGGATAGATAGAAATAATACTAAAACAAAGATGATTATTTTTTTGTAAAGTTACAAGTGTGTCTGCAGATTCAAGTGAGAATGAATGTAGTTTCTCTTTTAGCTGTATAGTGCTTCCTCTAAAGTCAGTGAAGTTAGCATATCCTCCCATGTGTGTGAAGAGGGGTTTTACACCTATTTTATAAGTGTAAGATTGATTACCATTTTTATTCCTGCTGTACTAATATTATGCTGTGTCTGATGATTATTGTGGATTTTATGTAACCATCTTGGTAAATGCCTTTCTTTAGTTGTAGTGAAAAGTGTAAGCAATTCTTGTTGGAAATTGGAAATTTGACAGAAGTCACTCGAGTTGCTAAAGGTACATGGTAATTCTGTTGTGAAAACAATATAAACAGTGTTAAGAATATAGGTAAACTGAAGGCAAGGTATTATTTTTTGCTTTACTGGAGTTGTCTTTTTAGTCTCTGTCTTCACTGAAGATAATTCCCATCTTTTAATTTGCCTTACCTCTTTGTGTTTTCTTTATGTCCTTTACCTGTCTGACTTACAGCAGTTTATACTTATTATTCTTGGCCTCTATGATGAAACTTTCTTTGAACTGTCAATGAAGACTCTTCTCCTTTTCTCTTTTTCAAGATTGCTGTAATGGCCACTGTTCCAGAGTCTTCCTCTGCAAGGTTTTTATCTTTGTAGGATCTGGTGTCTGATCACTTTGACACTGAAAAGCCTCTGCATTCACACCTCCATGCTTATAAGTACATTTTACTCCCTTGCCTAGCTTCCTTTTTAAAAAAGTCTTAAAACTTAGTCATGCATATGCCTGCTTATCCTTTCACTGAGTTTAATCACACATCCCAGTATTATTTTTATAATTGGCTCTTCTGTTCACCTTGGTTACAAAAAACAAATCTAAAATAACCTTACATCCTGCTGATTCACTGATGAGTGAATTAATTTGACATCTCTGACCAAAGGAAATAACAGGATCCTGTTTAGGTCTCTGATTAGGACTGGTTGTTTCCATGTCTGTATCTGGGATGTTAGTCTTCCAAAAGACTGCAGTTCCTGGTAGTATTTATTTGTCTCCAGTAGTGTTTCATTTTTATTCATATTTGAACCTGACCTATGGGGTTGATAGCTGATCCCTGCAGTTATCCTACGCAGCCTCTTTTGCCATGTTTTCCCAAAATAATGTGCTGTCAGTAGCTTTACATTATTTTCTCTATCCTGTTTTATAGATTCTAATTTTAAAATTTAAGAGAACTAGCAATGCAAGGAGGAAAAAGTTAGTTAGGCAAGGGGGAAAAAGTAAAAGCTTCAGGAAAAAAAACCTGAGATTAAATGAGAAAATTAGAACAGCAGAAGCAGTAAGGAAGCATTTTTTAGAAGGCAGGAACCACAAAGGAAAAATTTGTACCCCAAAAAAGTAATTTTTAAAAAGGCAGTGTCTGAAAATTAACAATAAACACAAAAATAGACAAAAGACTTAGACTGGCTCTTTGATGGCGTAGAGGGGGGGAAAATAAAAAGAAAAAAGCTGTGGAGTAATTGAAAACAAAAGCTTTCAGAAGACTGAAACATTGGATAAAACAAGGTAAAATTGGCAGGTTCAGTCAATTTTCCTCCTCCAACTATAGCTTGTGAGGAAATCAGAGACTGCATCTTAGATAAAGAAGTCCTAGAAATCTGTCTGGGAGGAAGTGGACATATGAATGAAGATCAAGGTTTCTACTGAAGTAGGTATCAGCTAAGAACTTCTAGGTCATGTCACAGTGGTGGTGGAAGACATATACAGGCATGAACAAAAGTGCAAGCACAGATTCACACATGCATGCTATACAGAGTTATCTTAAAATTTTGAAATGTAGCCACAAATGTTTTGTCAGAAGAGAAGGGAGAACAGATAGATGGAAATCTTTGCAATATACAAGTGGCTGAGAAGTTTAAAGGTAACACCTAAAAATTAACATAGTGTTGCTCATAGGGAGACAGCAAGTAGAGTAAGGATGTAGAGTGAAATTCATAAGCTGCATGCCAGGCATAAGCTAGGAACGGAACAAAATGCAGTGTGACTGCACCCTGGGTGCTGGAGTTTAACAGCTGCACAGAAAAGGTCACAGCACATGGGCAGACCTTGAGACACGTTCCCAAAGTGAATGAAAACCTGAAGATCTGAAGGAGACCGAGGAATGATAAAAAGAGGAAGGACCAGAAAAAAAATAGGGTTTTTTTTCTATGTCATACACTAAGGCTTTACACTTATAGTCAACAATGTACAAGTTTGGAAATGACCAGTGGTGCTGTGCAATAATGGAAGTAGGGAGGGAGAAAAAGAAGGTAGTGCTTTACTACAAGATTATGTTCTGAAAAGAATGTGAAGAGAAAGGAGGAGGATGTTTTTAATAACAGAAAGCAACTGTTGGCTTTATATACTTTCAGAAGGTAATGCAGACAGAGCTGTTGACTCCAGCAGTAATGGAAGGGAAGGTTCATGGAGTGAGAACAAACAAAATGGAGATTAAAGAAGTAAGCGACTTTTGGACAAGGTGACGTTTGTTACAGACAGGGAAGTGAAAGAGAAGGAGAGGAAGGGAAAGGTGGACAGAGCTCTTAAATAGAAGGACTGAGGTTTTCAGAAATGTCTCGCTGTAGTTCAGCTGTGTCATCAGTGATAAGGTCATCTCTTACAGAATGACTCATGACCCTACTGTCTTTGAACTGGCTTTGAAAAAGCTCGTTTCTGTGTTGCCTATACAGGAAATTGGGAGTATTTTGTCCACAACACTAGTGTCCAAGTTCATGACACAGTTATCCTATGCAATTACTTTGTAGCCCATTGTACACATTGTTGGGTGTGAAGCAGATCCAAGGGTAAGTGGGAAGTGGGAGGATGTAGAAAAAAAGAGGTAGAAATTAAACCGGTAAGCATTATCCTGAAGAGTAAGCAGCCATTTTCCATTTTAGCAGCAAAGAAAGAGCAGAAATAGGTTTGTAGCCTGAGAGGCAACCCTGTAAGAACTACTTCATTAATTGTCTGCAAAGTTTTTGTGAAGGTGGTATTTAAAGAATTCTGGTCCTGGGTGTTTGTGCAGTTCTTATTTGTGCATTCAACTTGCCCTTGCTGCCTGTCGGGGTGATTTTCAACATGGTATTACGCAGTGGTCCTGCCCTGCTAAACAGGTGTCATCATCTTCTGTTCAAGTGGCCTCCATGTGTCAGAGAAGAAACAATTCCACCAGGCAAAAAATGTTGTGTTGTCTGATAGACTTCTAAGTTGACTTAGTGTGTTAAAGTTAAATCCTAATAATTTTTAGCAATTTGTACAGGTTCTTTTTTCCTTGCCTTTGACTCTTAAGTATGTTTGTCATGGGCTATTTTCTCTAACCCTTCTGTTTCAGAATGACTATCGCAAGCTGTCTATGCAGTGCAAGGATTTTGTGGTTGGTGTTCTTGATCTCTGCCGAGACTCGGAAGAGGTGGAGGCCATTCTGAATGGGGATTTGAACTCTGAGCCAGTTGAGGCACAGAGACACAGAGCATCACTGAGCCGTGTGAAGTTGGCCATTAAATATGAAGTCAAAAAGGTAACTCCTCATAGCCGGTGCATTCAGACACTGTAATAGGCATGTGATGTCATCTCATTGCTCCATAGCCAAAAGCAGAGATTTCAGTGGAGCCAGATTTTCGCTCAGCGAAAGGATGTGACTTCCTGCCAGACTGTGTGATAATATCTGATCCAAAGAGAAAGCTGCATTGGTGAAAGTGTTGGTTTCAACTAATGAAAAGAACTGGTTTGTTCATTATTTCTTTTTATTACCTTTGCTTTCTATCTTGAGTAACTTGATCGGGCAAGTAAATTTTGGGAATTAAGTCTTGCAGCTTTCTGCTTGCTAGTGTTCCTGTCAACAGATAGATCTTTTTGTAAAAAGAGGTCTTCCTTTTACTTCCTTTTACTGCTTTGAAAAAGGAAAAGAGAACATCTAACCTGTCAGTAAGTATATTATTTTTTAATTTATTTTAAATATGACAGTAAATCAATTAACCTGCAACCATGTGGTTGCAGTGAGAAATTCTACATGATTTACTGTGTGTCTTCCTCTAAAAAATATTTTAAAATTCAGTCCTGAAAAAGTACAGGATACATTTATGGCTAGTTAATCAGTTCATTTCAGGCCTTTTTTCTGTCCACCTATTTTTATCGGTGTTTTGTAAAATGCAATGTGTTTTTAGTCGGTGGCTCTCTCAAAGTCATTTTTAAGAAACAGTTAAAGAGCAAATGCAAGTTACATGTTGGAAAAAGGAGCTGTCTCTCACACATCTGAGATTATGCATATCTTCTTATTGAAGCAGTTTTCAATGTAAAGTTATGTTCTTGTTTTCAAGATCCCACTGCCCTAGCACAGAAAGTAGTTAATACTGTGTCCTACTGTGAAGGCACTCAAGAAATACAGCAGTGCCTATGTATTATTTAAAGGTACTAATTTACATGGTCAGCATCCTTTGCATTCTTAACAGCCATTATGGTTTCATCATCTCTGCAAGAAGTCTGGTGTCTTTCAGAGTAAATAACACTGTATTCTGTGGCCACCTGTTGAGCCAATCTGCCATACAAAATGAATTGTAAGCAGCCTGCCAGAACAACTGGGAAATGTTTGTGTTTATTATGTTCACAAAATACAGTTGACAGAAACTGTAAGCTCAGATCTCAAACTGCAAGTAATTTTTCTAATATAACATTGGTCTACAGCAGACAAATGCATATTAACTACCAAAATTCAAGTTAAGTTTCATATTAATGTTACCAAACCTTTGCTGAAGCTTATGTCTCAGCTTTCTTGCTGAAGACTGTGGTTTTCTTTCAGGAGGTTGCTGTCACTGATTTAATGTATTGCTGAGCAAAGCGCCACGAAACTCTGTTAAGAATAACAAAAACCTACGTAGTGCCAAAAAAGACAGTTCCATGTAGCAAACTTGTTCTCCTGTCTTGCAAGAGATAAGTTATTTGTAGATGAACTCAAGGTTTTCACTCCAATTTGTGATAAGTACAGTTCAGAACCTACAAGATGGATTATCTTGGTGGGAGGAAATAAATAGATGGTACGGAGTTGTTACCATATTCATCCATGTGCAGTTCCCTGTAAGTGGCCATTACAGAGAATGTGACAGGGATTGAGCCAGGAAGTGTCTCTGTCATGGTGGTCTTTTGATGCTGGGTTTGGCTCCATTACACGTGTGGCAGATTATAGTGATATTCTGACTGTAGAACAGATACAGGTGTGAGATGATATCCACATGGAATGCTTTCAACCCTGTAACTGTAGGAAGAAGACAAGAATGTGGGTTGACATTTCTTGGCTTTCAATATTTCTAGGTGTACTTCTGGGTCAGCTACCTTAAGGTCTGTTTGCTGTTGCAAGACAGTTTAGCCAAACAGAACTGTGGGCCCATGAAATGGTTAATGAGCTGCATACCCTTTTCAGAGAGAGGAGACAGGGTAAAAGCATATGACAGGTGAGCAATGTGCTCAGAAGTTTGCTGGTAGGGAAATGGAGTTTTTAATTCTATTAGTAATGAAACTTTTGGACTTAATACCTGAGGCAGTGCATTAAACTGTAGTCCATCTTGTAAACAGGATAGGATTTTGAAGCTAAGGCTCAGATTGAATCTGAAGGCCTCACAGTGAAGGGCTAGGAGAATTTAAAAAAATGAAGAAAAACTAGTTAGAACAAGTAGTCTTGCTCTGCATGCTGAACTGCTGTTGCAGTAGTGCTTTTAGTATTGTATCTTAGTCCTTAAATTGCTAACAAAATTTTAGAGAAGCTGCTGACACTGGGCCAAATTCTTGATGAGATGAAAATCAGAGTGGCATTTCCATGTGAAATCAGTAAGAGTTGGAGTAAAGTCACAGGATTTAGTTTTCAAACATTGATGTTTTGAATTGATAGATAAGAAAGAAGATTCAAAATTACTGTGTGTGTTGTGTGTTTGTACATCAGAGTGTGCCAGGATCTGTTCCTACAATGTCTAAGCTCAGTCATTAGGGTGTTAGGAATAAATAACATTATAATCACTCTTACTCATACAGAAAAATATTTACATACTGATTATTTGATTCATGGTCATAAAGCTGAATGTATCAGAAGTGTTACAGTCAATCGTGCCCAGAAAAGCAGCTAAATTAAAATCAGGGGGTTTTTTTAGTGACCAGATACAGTCCTTATGCATCTTTGTTGTTGTTCACTGGGGTTTAGATTGGATCCCAAAACATAAGATCAACACGCAATGAAAAGTAAAAAAGTGCATGGGAAGTAGGATGAGGGAAAATAAACGCAGAAGTAAATAAGGTTGTAAGATGATATGATTGCTAAGTAAAATATGATGTGAACATACTGTCCTTAGGGGACATTAAACAGGGGGAAGACAGATGCAGAGGGAGAGGGGAAAGAAGATGTTACAGTTGCTGACAATAAAAACAACAAAATCGTAAATTCAGATATTTCAGCAAAGCTGGAAAGAAGTATGAATTCCAGAGCTTTTATGGATGGAAGAAGTGATACGAGTTGCTCTGAGGCTTGTGCAGTTGCCAACATTTAAGTAAGTTGCTAAGATCTTCTTAGGAGCCCTAAGACTTAGTGCCAGAGAAGAACTTGACATAATCATTGGCATCTTCTTCACTCACTCTTCCCTTTTCTGGGGAAAATTATAGCACAGGTACATCTCCTCTTAATGTCAGATCAAAATGTTGATAGACCAGGGGAAATAAACCAGCACACAGCTCTGGATGAGATGCAAGAGTGCCTGTGGGCTGATTTATAGCCCCAGGTGAGCTCCCTTGAAGCTCCTTTGCTCTTTCTTCCCATTCCCTCTGGTAACAGGAGGAATGATGTGGGTATTTCTTCTCTCTCCTCTTCCCTCCAGTTTTAAGCCTGCTTTTTAAAAACGTCTCTGTAATTTGAAATAATTATTTACTTTCCTGTCATTGGCCAGTTAATCTGCTATGGGATTTGTTCCTTGATGGCCTGAGTTGAGAATGAAATTTATCTTAGCAAAGTATGAGACCAGGGCATACATCAGAATGCAGAAACACAAAAAAACAGTGTCTTATTTTTGTTTTTATTTTCTTTTTTTTTTCCAAATAAGCCAGGCTGGCAGTTTTTTGTGGTGCACAAGCTTCAATAGCGATAGCCTGATAAATAGAATACAAATACAGTTAAAGTTTACCTTGCTTTGTTAAAAGACCTTTAAAATATTTTTATTTCTGTTGGCCATTCTATTATAGGTACAAACTGCATTAATGTGTGATCTAACAGGTTAATGAATCACACACCAAAATACTTTGGGACGTTGATTTTAGAGCAAAGTAGATTAAAATATGAAGATTGCTTCCCTGTTAAAAGTTCATGGAACAGCTTCAGATTACTCCTCTTGAGAGTTTTAAGGTTCCCTGTTTCCATTGCCAATGACTTAATTTGATTTTTTTAAGAAGTCTTCCCTGTTGTACTACTGGATGTACTTCTTAATGAGATTTGGAATATAAATGGAGTTTTGCAGGCAAGACCTGGCAAACAACAGTGCAGATGGTACATTATGATCTCAACAGAGTACAAAGAATAATAAACTGGATCCAAGGTTTACAGTATTTTTTTTAGTTGCTTTTTTTTTCAAGTATAAGCAACTCAGATCAAATAGCACTCTTAATCCGACAGGGATTATCAGTTATCAGAATTATTTTCAAATCCTTTTTGTGACACTACCTAGCATTCTTCACTCTGATTTACTAGTTAGTGTCCACCAATGTGACAAGTGTGTTACCAGATTTCTTCAAACTGCTGTGATAACTAGACTACTTACCTGATGTCCCACATGCTCATGTGGTTTTGCAGTTTCATAGAACATGTTATAATAGTAACAGTGATAATGATGAGCATGGTCACGTTTTACAAATGGACTTCACCAGAAATTTAAATATAATGGGCAAAGAACATGGGGAGCTAAAGAATTTTTCCCTCCTATCCCCTTACATTTCTTCAATAGCAGCACCCAAGGTGGGCCTCACACTCCTCCTGGTTATGTGACATGATCCTGATGGAGTGGCTGCCCAGTCTCCTCTGTCCTCACTGCTTCATCCTAAAGGCATACAGCAGTGCTTTAAAAATAGAGCAATTTCTGTTCACCCTTCAACAAACTCAACCAGAAGTGATTTTTAGTAAAATAAAACCTAAAGTGTATCTAAACAAATGTTGGCAGCAGCTTGTTTTATTGTTCCATAATTCATTTGAGAATCGTTCCCTTTCCCTCTGAATATACTGAAATCTTACTGAAACTAAGAAAATAACATTTGCATGTATTTGCTGCATAAGATAAAGATGAAAGTTGACTGTTTGATTTTATTTTGTACTGGGCACTAGATCCATAATATCTTCCAGTTTAGTATTTTAAAATTTCAGTCTCTGCTCCCTTTCAGTTTTGGGACACTTAATGAAACTTACAGAAAAGGCTTAGGAGAGCAAGTCTGTTTTGTAATAACTATCTGAGGAGAAATTGAGCATTAATCCTAAGCCTATTTTTCCAGTTGTCTGATCATTTCTTCATGACTAGATCACAAGAAATTCACTTGATGTTTGTCAGGTTCCCCGCACACACACACCTATTATAAAGCAATTGGTTACAAAAGTCTTTGTTGTCTTAGCTCTGCTCGGTTAAGGTCAGCTAAAATTTTACCATTGTCTTCAGTGCACATCAGGCTTAGGTTGAAAGAGAGTAAGTATATTTGAAAACCATCTTTCACGGGCTCATGTCTGGGTACAAGAAAACTAAGTACTAAAGTTTGGATGGAGCATTCCAGAAAATGGCCTGGCATTAACTGAATAGAAATTTGGTGGTAGCTGTGTATGCTTAGACTACTGGCAATCAGGACTTGTTTAAATGCCTGAATATTATCTTATAAAACTAAGTGCTTAAATTTGAAAATGTGAGCTTTTGGTCATTTTATCAGAGACTATATTTATTTGTAGACGTCTGTTCTTTTGGTTTCCTCTGTTCTGATTGATACATTTTAGTCCTATTGCTGTAGAAAAAAATGAGCAAATGTTTAGTAATGCTAACTGTAAACTCATCAGCAAAGATAAAAGGAACATCTCATGAAAGAATTAATTAAAAATAAAATTATCTTGCTCAGAATCACAGAAATATTTTTAAGTAAGTTGTACACCTCAGATCTTATTTGTGTTGTTAAGCTGTTAACAACTCGTTAAAACACAAAGAATAACATAAGGCTGTACAGTAATAACAATGTGTACATTCAGAGTCCTTTAAAATCTTAAAATAGTGAAAAAGGAAAAGTCGTATTTGAAAACTGTCGACTTGGAGGATTTAATATTTTTCATCTGAGATAGTATCAAAGGTATGAACTTAGAGAAAATACAATCTATCACAGAGTTGTTAGAGCATCATCAAACCATAAGGTCATTTTTCATCTTGTACACAAAATTGAATTTCCTTATATTACTGATTGCTAGATTTTATTTTCCACAAAACATAAAAATCTATTTGTAGTAAGTAGCTTCTGATTATTTTTCAAATCCCAAGTACATCTAAGTAGAAGTGATAGCTAACACCATTGCTGATGGTAAGAAAGAGTATCTTAATAGTCATTTCTGTGTGTTCTGGTGAGGTTTAAGATTCTGTGCTGTACTTAATTTATTTGTTCTCTCAGGAAGTTTTAGACTGAAAAAGCATAGATGGTTAAGGAGGTTTTTGGAGTCTTTGTCAAAGAACCAAATTCAATGGCAATGATGTTCGAGGAGGTCTGTGAAGAGCATGTGCAGGAAGGGAAGAGGCTCATGGTGGATTATGGTCAGACCAGCATTTTCAGTCTCTGCAGAGATTCTGTGGGTGCCTTGAATCAGCTTGATCTGCAGAGATATTTTTGGAAGTTAGGACTGAGTTTCAACTCTGACAGGATCCCGTCAGGTGTGTGAAGCTGGTCTAATAATGCATTAAAGTCTTTTGTCAGGAAAGGCTGTCCATGTGTGCAACTTTGTCCTCAAAGTGCTGCTTTAATTCAGCTCAGGGGTTTCTTCTTTATTAACCTTTATTTTAAAGGAAAGGAGTGAAAATGTGGTTCTTAAGGTCTAAATTAACACCAGATATTTGAGGTGATTATGATAATGTATGTAGCAGTTATATAACTCTTTTTATAATTCGTAATATGTCTTGGTTTTCTTTTCTTTACAGTTTGTGGCCCATCCAAACTGTCAGCAACAGCTACTGACTATCTGGTATGAAAACCTCTCAGGATTACGGGAGCAGACCATAGCTATCAAGTGTCTGGTTGTGCTGGTTGTGGCATTGGGCCTTCCATTTCTAGCCATTGGTTACTGGATTGCACCATGTAGCAGGGTACTGAATTTTATCAATTATCTATCTTGTACTATTCTGGGAGCTGTTTTTCAATTTCTAGCATCCAGCATGCTATGTTGTACCTCTTAATTCTGCTTCCAAATTTTAACTAATTAATGATAACTTTAGTTCTCTCTAAAGATTCTGTTTGTTTTATTTGTGCTGTAAAGAGGACCAGGTGAAGCCTGAAAATACATTTTTGTGAAGTTTAAAGAAAGGAGAAAACCCTTCTCTGAGAGTTTTAGGGGTTTTTTTTTCATTTCCATAGATGGTGCTCACCTCACAATCTTTGCTACGTAATTGTATTTGTATTAATAACATGGATTTTTTTGAAAATTGCCACTCACATTCTGTCTTAGGTCTCCTCTGATGGCATCTTAACATCTGATGCTGTTCCCATATAAACCATTAATTAGGAGAACATCTGTTGACTTCACTGATGCAGAACTTAAGTAAAATATTTGTTATTCTTGCCCTAGGAGGTCTGGTTACCAGGTGAATCACTGAGCAGAAATTAAATCAAACGGAGTGTTCCAACCATGCAGTTGGGTATATTGGTAAAAGAGCCCAATTGTAAACTGTAGCTCTTCAAAATTATATGAAAATGTAAGGGTGCTTCCAGCTTTCCTGATGATCTCACAATGAAAATAACAGCAGTTTCTTTGAAATCCTTATAGCATGTGAATTGTCTGCAAAACAATTCACAAAAAAAATTATTGGTCTACAAGAAAAAGAGTCTACCAAAAAAAAGCGCATGTATGATACATCTGGTAAATCAGAAAAAGGAAGATTTCTCTGTTACATTAACTCTTTTAAAATTTTAAGTAAATTTACTCGTGCTGAGTGTGGTCTTTAAGTATTGCTTCCTTAATGATTGTACAGCAAAGAGATGAGTTTCATATTTTGCTTTTGCAGTTCACCTCAAAAAGGATAAGATTTTGCTAATCTGTATTTTTCAAGGGAATCTAGTGTTTTCTCTGGGTTAAATATTTATTGATTACATCTTTATCAAAATAATAGAATTGTTACTTTGTTTTAGAATATTGTTTAATATTGGTTATGTATGTTATAGTTTATTCTATTAGAAATGTACTTTAGTATTAATGAAGGCTGGGCATTATGTGTGGATTTTATTGTCCTGTTGTACTGAAGGAGACAGGAGACCTTTGGCTTCAGAAGGTGCACAGCAGCTAAGACAAAGTCTGACAAGCATTTACCTTGTCACACCTTGTGCAGAGACAGGACAAACATTGTCCTGCTCAGGCTACAGAAAATAGATGTATTCCAAAGGTACTGCTCCTCCCAAAGGGAAGTAGGCTGGGAAGGACAAGTAAGCTACATGAGCATTCTCCCCCGTGAGGTCTTCAAAAAAGGTAATTTGGGAATCTCAGAGCCATCTTTGTGCTTGAGCCAACTGCAGCCTGACTGATACCTGCATGTTTTGAGTGCAGGGCAGAGAGTTGGAGCAGCACAGACCACACAAGACCTTCACTGCCTACGAAAGGATTCTGGCAGTACTGCCCTCATGGGAGTGGGCCTGTAGTTTGGTACTTTGGACATTGGCTTGCAGGATAAAGCTGGTACTGGTGGAACCACAGACTCTTCTATATAGGGAGAAACAGCAACAGGCCCATTGCTCTTCCTGGTGTGGTCTTCTGGAGGGAGCTTTTGCTGCAGATGTGAATGAAATCAGCTACATTTCTTTAAAAGTAGTAATGTTTTTTTATCTTATCCTTCTTAGAATCATAGTATCATCCTGGTTGGAAAGGACCTTGAAGATCATCAAGTCCAACCATTCTTAGTCCATTGTGATGGAACAGTCACTATTTTTAGTAGATGCAGGTTATTTATTTGGCACTTAGAGCTCTGAACCTATTTTCTGAAGATGGAATACTGTAGCCAGGAATGAGATGAGTCTGTAATTTTTCCTAAAGCTATGGTCATAGACAAGCTGATAGTACACTTTTGGTGCTACAAGCTACACTTTTTGGTAGGGAAACCATTTTGCTACTTGGAGATTTTAAGTATGTATTTATTTTCCATGTGCTTGCTTCCAGCCCCTATTGCTATCTGTGGGCAATAGATCAAGCTCTTTCTGGTCACAGCCATTGTATGTTTGTAATTCTTTGGGCTGTTTAGTGGAATCATGGGATTATCAAGTTGGAAGGCACCCCTAGAGATCATCTAGTGCAACTCCCCCACTAAAGCAGGATCCCCTAGAGCACATTACTCACGACTGCATCCAGGTGGGTCCTGTTCCAGTGCTTTGTCTTCTTCAGTGTAGTTTTTCCTCCCCTCAAACATTGCCATCTAGAGCTTATGGAATAACATGACAGTAGGACAACATACCCCTTAAGCCTGTCTTTGGGAGACTTTTGTCTGAAATGGTAAAGCATCACAGTTCAGTGCACTTGGAAGATTATCCTTTAAAAATGAGGTTTCAGAGTGTCTGGAGCTCTGAGTGCCCATTTGTGCTTCTGGAATGCCTGATGAGTTTGTCTTCCTGAGAACACTAAGTGACTGCTTTCATTCTGCCATTGCAGCTTGGAAGAATTCTTCGAAGCCCATTTATGAAGTTTGTGGCACATGCAGCATCCTTCATTATTTTCCTAGGCCTGCTGGTGTTCAATGCATCGGACAGATTTGAAGGCATAACAACACTACCCAATGTCACTGTTACTGATTACCCTAAGCAGATCTTTAGGGTGAAGACTACACAGTTCACCTGGACAGAAATGCTGATCATGGTATGGGTACTGGGTAGGTATATTGCCCCTTCATCTCTATGTCATCTGTTTTCCTGCAGATACAGATTCTAAAAGAAAGGAGAGAAGCCCAGGTCCCAGACCTTTGCTCCAGCTGCTCTGAAGTGAGGTTAGAAGAAACCCTTAGTGCATTAGAACTGGTGAGAGCATCAGAGCATCTCCGTGCTGCCCCCTCTTGCAGCATGGGGTCAAATTTTGTTTGCTGATTTGCACGGTTTGGTAATTCTGCCA